AGATTCGCAAAATGAAATGGATTCGCAAGATGAAATAGATTCGCAATATGAAAGAGATTCGCAAGATGAAATGGATTCACAAAATGAAATGGATTCGCAAGATGAAATGGATTCGCAATATGAAAGAGATTCGCAATATGAGAGTGATCTGCATGATGAAATTGAGCAAATGGGAACGCTGGATGAAATAGGAATGCTGGACGAAATAGGAATACTAGAGGATGACTATGTAATGGAGGAGGATGACAATAGTGACAGTATTAATGATAATGTTATAGATGAAGATCAGATTGTTGACTCACCGATAGATATAAACCAGATGTTGAATACTGCATCATACTTTGAGAATCCGACCTCTGCATTACTATTTTGCTACATATAGAAGCACAATATATGTAGGTTTTTTTAATATAATAACTTAGGCCAAGCAATGTTAATTTTTTAGTTCTCATAACTTGGCTAGGTAAAAATTTTACTACATTACCCAGATGATCTTTAAAAATCCAGGCCAAAATTTTATATGCAACTTTTTAAAAGGTTAAAAGCTGGGTGCTAGGGGTTTTTTAATTTTATGTCGTGAAAACCCAAAAATTAACTTTATATGTCTTTATTATAATTTTAAAACGCAATACTGACAGATAATCTACCTTATAGCAATAGCCGCGTATAATGATCTTGTACATATATTACAAAATCCAGCTTTCAATGTTGGTGATGTTGTAAAAAATATAAGAAGATTTCGGCGATGGAGAAACCGATTACCGTTGATGCCAATAAAACACGTTCTGTAAACATTAGCCAAAAAAAAACTCCATCAACATCTAAAGAAATGAAACCTTGTTATTACCTTTCTATTTTCGATATTATTTGGAATATCTTAAACAATCCGTCACTATATAATACATTATATTTTGGACCAGGGATTGAAGTTGAAGATAAAAAGGAATATTGGCATAGTGATCTTTGGGCTGAGTCACCATTACTTGGTCAAGATAAAATAATTATTAACCAAGGTATTAATATTATATTATTTATAAGCATAGTCAAGTTAAAGTTATTGCTACTAGAATAATTAGGTGTGATAATAAAATAATTGCGCAATCATAAGTTCTTTGTCAATCATGAACACAGTATACTTAAAAATTTCATGTTCTTACTAGCATTTTTTTTTTGTAATATGAACACAATTATAATAACAGAACATTATCATTCGGGAGAATTTATTATATATAAAGAAAATAATGAGCAAAGATTTGGACGAATACGTTCAATAATTTCTATTAATAATAACCTTCACATAAAAATCCAATGGATTTACGTATATAACGAATTACCAGCCAACTTTCATAATAGCGCACGTTCTGCTACACAAGAATCACAGTTGTGGTTAGTAGATCAATATTTGGCGGAAGGAGGTATTATAGTTGAAACAAGCAAAATTATTAAAAAAATTAATATCTCAATCGTTCGCACTTCAAACGTTGTGAGTGGTCTTTTCATTAAAGAAATTTTGTATAAAAACAATGGTCATTGGAAACTACGGAATGTAAATTTAGATTATATGCATCCATGTGAATATACTACTTTAATTGCACTGCCACCACAGTATAACCATCTTAAAATTTTAAAGTTATTTATTGACCTTTACTATGATGATTTTGGTACATATCAGAATGCCTATCATTCTTTAGCCGGCGTCTATGTGCAACTAAGAAACATGCCATTCGATGTTAAAAAGCATTTACACAACCACTTTGTCCTAGAGTTTGTCCCTTTTGGAGGGAACTTTAATAATTTTATTCGTCCGTTTGTCTTGGATATGAAGCAATTTGAGAGATGGACACTAATAAATGTCTAAGGAAATGATTACTGGGTCGTTGCTAGTCTTGGATGCACTACAGTGGATCTTCCCCAAGTAAGAATGGTAAAAGTTTTTGTTATGTAATTAAAAACAAATGATGATTAAAATATTAACTATATTTAAATCCAGATTTAAATATTTTTAATTATCAGCTGTTTTAAATCAGTGAAAAAAATGTTTAAACCTGTTTTTTTTTTTACTATCCCTATCCTTCAGGGTAATGATTTAGTAGGAGTAAAGCGACATGGTGCGACAAGTGGGTGTAGGACATGTTTAGTTTCAAGAGACAATTTAACAGACGAAAACTTAGATATTGCCAACGTTTTCCGTTATCACCACATTACAAATACTCAGTTTGAGGACATTTTTGCAGCTCCAACGATTACACAACAAAATGACATTTTCAAAAGATACGGTCTACAAAAATGTTTTCCTATACTTGATGAACTTCAACGTGAACAACATCTCCAGTCACCCCAGGACATTTATCATATAATGGCCGGTAAAACTCTAAAACTTCTTAAATTAACTGTTGCGATATTATCACTGGTTGGTGAACAAAGATTTCTCAGGGTTTGGAGGTCATTCGAATATCCTCAACAATGGTCAAAACTTCCAAACCCTATAAGTCATATTGAAAGTTTTATGATGTCAGACTGTATTTGGCTAGGAATGGTAATGCTATTTATATTAAATAGATCATTGGATGCAAACTCTTTTAAACCAACAGAACTAATAAAATTATAAAGACAATCAGGCTTGCAGCGTAATCAAGTGGCTAATGCAATCATTAACTGCTGGTCAATTGTGGCCAAATGCACTCGATTAGTATTTAAGTTTCTATTATCAATCAGTGACTACAAAGAACTTGAAAAGATTCTAAAAGAGGAAAGAGAAGTCTTGACTATAATAAGCTTATAATAACATTTACTATACTTATTCGCCATGCATATTCCAAAGGCTGTATTTTATTTATATATGAGGAAATATATTACGTATTGGTCCAAGCTTTCTTTTCTTTGGGAATCATCTAAAGCTTAGTGGTATGTATTTTATTTTAATCATGTGATTTATTACAAAGCAATTAACCTAAAACTATATCTGTATACGATTTGACATTATTATTATAGTGGCATATAGGGGCGGTTACATTCTGGTATTTAAGGTGGGTTATCTCATATATACATAATTATTACTCAACAAAATCAAGTAAAAACTTGATAATCAAATACTAAATAATTTTACGATCCAATTTCTACTTGATTATCAATGTACTTGATTTTGTCAAGCTCTATATATATTATATATATGGTTTTACTATTTCACTCTTTAATTGGCCAGTTCTAAAAAATAAATTTAAATTTAGGTTCTAACTGTAATTGAATTACAAAGTATATAGAATACTATATGATACGTACTCGGGTATTAAAACAATTGTTTCGGGTAGAGTATACATGGCGAATAAATACAATGATACAGTATTTAAAATTACTAAGTTACGTTGAATATAGTTGTTTTCAGAGTTTGTGGGTCTTCCTAATCTTCACGCCTGTTATCATTTACCTCGACATGCAAGAACATTTGGAACCCTTGTGAACACTGAGGTTGGAATCAAAGAGATGATTCACCGCATTTTTAAAAATATGGTTTTGAGAACCAATCGCAAGAATATTGAACTTGCATTATTGAAATATTACACGACTCTTCAGTCTATTCGGCATGTAATAGACGGTGGACATGACTCTTGATATTTATAACCTAATATCGATTTTGTTAACATGCTTCAAGATTCTAAGCATTTATTCAGGAATTGGTTTATTACAGAAAATGTGCTAGACGATGATAATAAAGAATCAGACAGCAATATTACTTATTATTATATATTATTAATGGTTTTAATTATTTATTGTTATTGTAATTACAATCTATTATTAATAATTTTTATATATCTTAATATGGTAGTATGCTCCCAATCCAACCATATTCAAAATATAAAGCTAAAAAAGCCAATAAGTTCTTACAAGCAAATAATTAAAACTGACACAGCTTTATTTCGTTCTGACTTGGCCCTTGCTTATCAAGATTTCGGATATAATGCATCACTAATTCAGTAATTAGCAAATATTATAGCTTTTATGAAAGTGCATCCTATATGCAAAATGATGGTTACACCAAAATTAAATACTATTTGCATAAGAATGATGTGGTAACAATTCGAGTAAATAATTATGAAGGTTATGCGATGATTAAAGGCATCTTTAAGCACAAGAGCAATGATGGCTGTTATTATCCGTTTGTTTATGTTGATTGGTTTGAAGATACATCGAGAAAACACATAAAAGTAAATTGTCCGATATTTGTCCTTCATCAAGATACGTCACGTCGCAGAATTTTTTTTTTAACAAACGTGGATGGAATCCAAAAAACACATTTTTTACATGATTGTAATGCAGGATGTCAAGATAATAATCATAACACAGAGCATAATCAATATCTAAACAATGTTTTCTTTTTTAAGATTATTTGATATTCAATTTAAGCAAAAGCAAATTCAAGATTTAAGATGCACTATTCAATGTTTTTGTGTTATAATTGTATGTATATGTTTGTTTTCTCTGAGAAATTTATAATGGACCTTGAATATAATTAATTGTAAATTTTTAAATTTTATTTAATAGAAAAGTGTCGACTTTATATAATATAAGCTCTTTCTTATAGAAATACTGTGTTCTATAAAAACAATCATGAGTAAATTGAATGAAATTTTTTATTATCATTGTAAAAATTGAAAATTTCGATATTGAATATATTGAATGAATGCCATTCATATTATCACATGATTTCGCGATGCATGTTTTGAATAGCAGGTCGAATGGGGCTTTAAACATCAAAATTTTCAATTTACTAGTGTATATAATTAGGCTTTTGTAATATCCTACAAACTTTTTTTTTATTAAATATATATATATCTATTCAAAATCAGATAAAAATTGTCAAAATGGATCCTTTTATATATATAACTGAGCCACATTTGATCTATTAATCAATTCTATTTTAGATAATATGTGAAGATTAAATACAGCAAACATAACTA